GTTTCATGTCGATAAGATCGGTTCCTCTCAGTCAGCTAAAATTTCCCGTTATGCTGATGATAGTACTGGTGTTTGCTGCACATATACGTCCATTCAAAAACTGTTTTACTGGGGTGATTTATACGGCAAAGCGTCATTGAATAGGCAGAAAACTAGGGGTATTTGGCTTGGGAAATGGAAATTTCGTTCTGATCATCCTTTTGGCATTAGTTGGGTTGAAAAGCATAAGATTTGTGGGATTTTGGTTGGGAATAACATTCCCCCTGACGATATTTGGCAGCCGGTCTTTCGGAAATTTTCAAGGACCTTAGATATGTGGAAAATGCGAAATTAATCTCTGGCTCAAAAATCTGTTATCATGAATGTTCTTGCCTGTAGCAAAATATATTATGTTGGTACTATCCTCTTAATGCCACGGCATTATTTGGACCTTTTCGAGAGAACATTGTTCAGGTTTTTATGGAACTTAAGATTGGAGCCACTTGCGCGCACCGCAGCTTATGGGTCTCCCACTAGTGGTGGACTCGGTATTGTTGATTTTAAAACTAAACTTCAAGATACAGGGGTCAAGTGGCGGTTTTTTTTACTTCGTACTGGCCCTCTCTAGAATTTCGTGAATATTTTACACGGTTTAATAATAACTCTCCTCACAGTGATTTGTGCCCTGTTTTTTATTCGAAAATTCGTAAGGTTTTTCAGACGTACAGGAAGGACTTTCCGAAGTCCAATTTTGAGTTATCTACAACCAAAGAGTTTTATGTTACATTGTTATCTAGTGTCATTAAAACACCGCATCCTTTATATACTACGATGCTACCTTACTCCCATAAAAACACAACCACCATATGCATGTGAGCCGAGCGGACAATAGAGCCGGCATTTAATGTCATATTCTCTCTCTTTTTTTTAATTATATATATATATATATTCCCTTACTCACTCACTAGCCTCTCGCTACCTTAATTATACCATTGTATAACAAGCCTTAGGAGAACCAAGCGAGCCACCCAACCTCAAAACCGTTATACGGGATGAGAGGAGGTGCACCAGCCCAAACTGCTTCAGGCTCCCGAAATAATGCTGGGATTTCAATTGTTCATCCATTTTAAGCACCTGCATTTCAATGGTCTACAATGGTATTTCTACCGGTCGTTAGATACTCTCACACTTTATATTTCTTCAATACCTTTACTGAAAAGCGAAAATATGTAAATTATATATTCTATACTATATATAAGTGCATTTATACGTTTTCACCCGAACCCTGAAACTATAGCAGTCAACGCTTTGGAAGTCCGCGGCTAGAATGAATACCCGATATACCCCTCACGTGCGCGTCGGTACCCTAGTACTCCACGTGGCACGCCAATCAGTCTCCTGATTGGTCAGATACTATACACTGCCTTGCACGCCTTGCGTACATATGTACGTGACCGAAACTATAGGACAGCAAATTTCCGCTATTCTCCGAAACGCGAAAAATTTTGAAGTATTGTAAGGGTCTATCCCACTTTAGATTTCCGCCAAGTCTTCCTCAATGTTTCCAACAAAGTTTTGGATACCCGATCCCGGGATGTTGTTTTTAAGATTGTCCATGAAATTTTACCTGTTAACTTTCGTATGTATAAATTTAGTGTTGAGGCTTTAGGGCGCTGTACATTTTGTGATGAATTTGAGACCTTTTCTATAAATGTTCATTTATCCAGCCTCTAGTATCATTAGTTAATTGCTGGGTCCAGCAGATCTCAGAGAATAAGGTCCCCACTGCTTCGGCTCTTTGGCTTTTCCACTCCCCGGTTACTCTCACTCTAAAACTAAACCTCTTGTTCTCCTCCTAGTGGCAGAATCGTTATCCTCCATTTGGCATATCCGTTGCATTAAAAAATATGATAAAAAGGCTCCCACATCTGGTTCTCTCGTCTGCCACTTTATCAGTAATATCATTCTTCGTATTAAGTCCGATTTCACTCGACTCCCAAAAACTACTTTCCCTGAGTATTGGTGTACTACGGATATTTTTTGTACTATTCAAGACGAGGAGCTAGTAATAAATCTTCCCTTAGCCGTGTAACTTTAATGCTTTACCTCATTCTTTGTATTAATCTATCCCTTTGATAATTGATCATCGTTACCAGGTTTAAATTGTATGAATTTCGTATTCCTTTCTATTTTTTGTGTCTTCCTATAGCTATTGTTACTGGTTTATAATTGTGTATTAGTTTAGAGTGATGAAATCAGTACAGATATTGTACATCGTAGTTGTCAGGGATAATTACAACTTACCGGGGCTACCGGTTGTCCATCCGTTGCTGGCGTCATTAGGGCCTGTCCTATGACGTTTTTACCTGTAAATACTAAATAAAATTTTATGAAACAAAAAAAAAAAAAAAGGGTTGTCTCATGAACACAGCTCCATAAAAGAGCGTGCGCCCTTTCCTCATCACTTCTATAAATGCGGTCGTGATATATATGCGGTACGGTATACTGAGGCTTTGTACACGTTTACCGTGACTTTATTTCATGGTATTTATGAATGAATTTCCGTTATTGTCTATGCAAAAAGTTTCTCTATTTGAAGATGTGTGATTACAAAAAGTTCAGTCTGTAATTCGTTTATTTAACTTTTTATCAATTGTTGTAAATTTCATCCTGTCAATATAATGTATGATCCAGGGCCCCTTAGTATGAATGTCAAGGTTATATAATTCAGATTGGTCTATATATTCATGTTTGATATAACCTCGAGAAATAGGTGATCATGACAGGTACCTGTTTTCAGCTAATACAACTAGCCTGATGGTTGTTGCACTTTTATAAGTAGTTTCAATATATATCCCTCTTTTTCAGGAATAACCAACGGCCACCTTCATCAAGAGTTCACGAATCTTAGGTGGACCGCAGATGATACAGTTGAGGTTGAACGGAAAACGTCTTAACCTGACTACGTCACTCTTCTCATCCTGGGACAAACAGCTCTACCCGGAACTCCTCAGGTAATTCTTATCCTGGGACAAACAGTTCTACCCGGAACTCCTCAGGTAATTCTCATCCTGGGACAAACAGTTTTACCCGGAGGAACTCCTCAGGTAATTATCATCCTGGGACAAACAGTTCTTCCCGGAACTCCTCAGGTAATTCTCATCCTTGAACAAACAGTTCTACCTGGAACTCCTCAGGTAATTATCATCCTGCGACAAACAGTTCTACCCGGAACTCGATAAAACATGTAAATTTCCAGGTTTGTAAGAATTTAATGAGCTGTTTTTAAAAGATCTTTGTTAAATTCAGTCTTGTATGAAAACATAAATAAATCACCGAAGAGGAGCACATTTAGTTCCCAAAGATATGCCATTAATGAGTTTGAAGTTCTTACCACCAATCTCGACGATGTTGTCAACAAGAAACTCGATCATTTTTATGATTTCATATTAGTATTTTTTCTCTTTGATTTAAGCCCGTTTTTTTCACGTCATACGCTTCACAACAGTTCACAAAGATAACTGGATCGTCGTTCACCTTTGGAGGACCCCTCCACAAACAATATGACCTCAAACAAATTAACTGTATTTTCATTGTTTTTCTTTTTTTTGCAGCGAGGGATCTGTAATGCTTGCCATTGACGTTGATACGCGGAAGGGTGGACTTAAGCTTAACCAAAATTTCCTTGTTGATTTCGGAAAAGAACCAGAAGGTCCTTCATTAGCTCATGAGATAAGGTATCCAGGCGGTGACTTACGACATATGGCTTGCCAGTACTGCTCGCAAACCAAAGCTCTAAACACGCTGACAACATGACATATTTGTATATATTTACCTCTGCAACAATAACAATTTGTTGTATCACTTAACCACAATCATTTAAACTGATGCCATCTAAGGCTTGTTGATATTTGATAAATGAACATTGAGATAAGACTTCCTTAATAATATTTCTATAAATATATTAAAGTCTGTTATATTACAATTCCTTTTGTACATTTCAAACCTGCTGATATTTAAAGAGGAAGTCGTTATGAATGACGATATTTTGAATATTAAGTCATTAAAAACAGAAAAAGAGTTCTTAATTTAAATCGTAAAAAATATGATATAGATTGAGCAAAGGATATTCTATGACTCATCGGTTGGAGTATTGAGACATGTCCCCCTTTGTTACTGCCCCATTAGCGTCATGACTATAACATATATAAGGCTTCTGCGGGTTCAAAAACACATGGTTAAATATTGGTACGATTTCACAGATATTAAAACAAAGATTAAAAAATGGCGGACAGTTACAGAGATATCACTTGATCCATTGATATTTTATTTTTGAGAATTATGCAAAATACACACTAGCTAAAAAAGCCTTTCAAATCAATTTTAGGATCATATGTCAATAGAAAATCAATAGAAAGTCAATGATTGAATGACATCACTTTGCTGTATTCATTATTTGGCTCTGCTATGTCTAATTCAACAGTTGTGTTGTTATTTACTTGCCAAATGTTGATTCTGCTCTGTCGCCTCTCAAGCATGAATGTTTTACAGGGCTACACGATTGGTACGATCAGTAAAATCTCCTCCAAGATTATCAGAGAGATGAACCGGATTGTTCAATTGGTATATAGAATTGTTCAATTAGTTTTGCATTTGGTTACAATTGTAAACCTTTATTCTTTAACACAAAATGAAAATACAAATATCGTCAATTGATATTTGTTGACGAATCTCATAGCGGTACTTGGAAACGGCTTCCGGCTACGGCACCGCAAGATCTTCTCTTCTTTAATGGCAATAGTTGTGATGATCATACACTAAACAATTCTCGGAATACATTACATATATTAGTACATGTGATCCCAGGATATAAAATAGATATCAATAGATATCAATGGATCAAATGAGTGTATGACAGAAAGGAATTTGCCTTAAGCGTAGAAACACTATTTCAGGAAAACCCCTTTTTTCGTGTCCTGTCTCGGCGATATTTCATCAATAAACCGTCAGTCATTCCTAGATACATCGGCCTTAAATCTCCCACACAAGCAATCAGTCACTGATATTGGCCGAGTGATATCTTTTGATTATAAATTCTTCCGTTCCTTTTTCTGTTTTCCTTCTTCCTGACATTGCCTCAAAGTCGATCGACATGCTAAAAATAGAAAGAGAAATGTCAACACCAGATCACGTGTTTGTTAATTATTTGTCGATATTCATGACGATCACAAGGGGATAACTACACCGGAAAGACGGGTGGACTCATTCTTCTGTAACTTTATATTTCTTATGGTAATTTTTTGTTTTTGTTATTGTTTCTTCTTTTTTGGATTTAAATTGTTTGTACGTTCTTATATTTCTTGCATCTACAAGATCAAGTGAGCTTAAACCGTCAACCGTTCTCTCTGCAACTTTTATGCTAACGGAATCCAATTTCCTTGAAATTATGTCATCATTGAAATAATGGATAACAGAACCGAAACATTTAACCCGTAACAGTCTATGTACAAATAAGATTTTAGAGGAATTAAGTGGTAGTGAGTGTAACACGCCCCTTAAACATAAAGCCGTTAAAATCTTCATAGAAACTTCATTACGAGTGACTTACTTTCGTCCGTTCAATCGTATGGTAGGCTGCTTAGCTCGTAGGTAGGTATGGTAGAGGGATTCTAATTCTTGGTGATCCCTTACTGAAAGCTCCACAGTCCTTCTATCAGTCCTTGTAAATACCTGCCAGCAGTGGGCAACGCTGGGTGCGCTTCGAGTCATTTGTAACACGTCATTTCCTATTAGTGGTGAATTTCTTTCACGCGGATCGTTACGTTCCTCATCTATATGCAATCCGAAATCTAGCGCCTGGTGCCTAGATTCACAAAGAGGCTCAGAAGTCCAAGCTGTCAAGCAATGGATTTTCTCACCAGAAGTTCGTAACCGATCCAGAGCATAGCTTTCGTTCTCAAACGGTACACGCATTTCTTCTTGATTTGCTAATGCGTCAAATTCTTGTCCTTCGTTTGACGAGTCAGACGTGTCCTCAAATCTATTACTTTGATCAGAGCTTCCCCATTTCTTATAGAGTTGGTCGTAAATGGAGAACGATTTTGCTTCTTGCCTTTCGTATTCATTTGATGAAGCACTCTCTGAACATTGTTCATCTGACGTATATAAGTAGTCTTCGTCACTTGAAGAAGGGTACTCAGCGACCATCAATCTCTGAAGGTCTTCTATGGTCGTTCCATTGAGTCCATATCTACGTAAGATACGTCGAGGTTGGTCCTCGGAAACATCATGAGAGAAGCAACATTTTTCTTCACCAAATCTGCAATTACCTCGAATAAAATATTTGCATAAATGTAGAAATGAACATTTTCGAGACCTCTGACATCCAATGTTCGAATTATAGAAGGAACAGATGCCAGGAAGAGTAAGACCTTTTCGGTTGTTTAAGCTGCTTAGTAATTCGCGAATCTGTTGGTTGGACAATTTCTCCATCTTATGAAATTTCAGCACGGAGTTATTATGATTACTCCTCAAATTGTGACCGAAAATGCAATTTCTTCCTCTGGAACAGCGATTCATCATTTGAAATTTACAAATATGCAAACATTTACAGTTTGTTTCACATTTGCCATCTGAACTTCCATGGACCTTACAAATCTCCAAGTTGAAAGATAAAGTCAATACACTGGCGTTGTCAGGGCTACCTGTCAAAAGGTGACTGTAGTTTTGTATAAATCCGTTAACTGTATTGTCAGTAGAGAGTTTGAGCATGTCAGCATAAAGACGTCTATGTGATTTTCGTAGAACATTTACTTGAACAGAGCCGCCATGGTTGACGAGAATACAAACTAGATCACTCACTAACTCATCTGATCCATACGGAGAAGACTGAGGATTACAAGTTCTACTGCTGTGCCTTATAATGTCCTCTTTCGTCTTGCTGTCTTTCATTCTTGATGGACTAGTTAGTGGTTGTGCTTTGTTGGTCGCTAAAGGAATTGCTGGATTGTCCTCCATGTTACGGATACTTTCATAAGTAGATGATGATGTATGTTTACCTTTTCTATTTTTCCCACCTCTGCGACCTCGCCTTTGCCTGCTGTTATCTTCAGTCTCTCCCTGAGGATCCATATCTAAAAAAATAGTCTTCCAAATCAGTTCATTTTCCATTAACAAAATGTACACCATTTGGTGGTTGATCAGTTTAGTTTTGAAAATAGTAAGAGAAGAAATTATGACATAACTTCTTTTTATCAACAAATTGCTCTATTCTTTTGTGTGTCTTTTGTTCAATCTTTATGCACATCAATGACACATTTCATACGCATAAACAGACATAAATAACAGATATGGGTATAGTATCATCATATCACGACATCAATTAGCTCAATAAGTGAACGCAGACATGTCAAATATGTCACTGCGTGCAGTCCTTTTAAACTGAAATTTTAAGTCGGTCGTATTCTTTTTGCATCATGTTGTTTGATGTACATGAGGTTTCGTTAATCTAAAGTATTAACAAATTCAACGAAAGTAAAACCGCCACGACAAAATGATTTTACAACATACTCAATAAACTTCAATTCATAGGCCTTAAATGATCACGTGATTTCTGTGTGACCTGTTAAAGGTATAGTTTATATTCCTAGAACTATCACTCAAAATGAAAGTGAAAGTGAAATAAATTGATACTATATCATCGTGCATAGAAAATCTGCCGAGTGACATTGATAATATTTTACGATTAGAGATGGATTCACATAACATAGTCTGTGATTATCGATTAAATCACTACTGAAGAAAATGAATGAAGACTTACAGTTAGGTCTATCATGGATTTGAAATGAAAAAAATGAAGTTGTACAGTATTTTTTGTTTCGATTTAAGTAAGTCACTTCCTAAGTATTAACAATTTGGTATGTAGATCTATGAGGTCGGTGTGATAAAATGGCTACATTTATAACAATTTGGTATGTAGATCTATGTGGTCGTGGTGACAAAATGGCTACATTAATAGCAATTTGGTATGTAGATCTATGAGGCCGTGGTGATAAAATGACTACATTTATAACAATTTGGTATGTAGATCTATGAGGTCGGTGTGACAAAATGGCAACATTTATAGCAATTTGGTATGTAGATCTATGAGGTCGGTGTGATAAAATGACTACATTTATAACAATTTGGTATGTAGATCTATGAGGTCGGTGTGATAAAATGGCTGCATCTATAAGAATTTGGTATGGCGATCTATGAGGTCGTGGCGATAAAATGTCTTCATTTATAACAATTTGGTATGTAGATATATGAGGTCGTGGTGACAAAATGACTACATTTATAACAATTTGGTATGTAGATCTATGTGGTCGGTGTGATAAAATGACTACATTTATAACAATATGGTATGTAGATCTATGAGGTCGGTGTGATAAAATGACTACATTTATAACAATTTGGTATGTAGATCTATGTGGTCGGTGTGATAAAATGGCTACATTGATAACAATTTGGTATGTAGATCTATGAGGTGATAAAATGACTACATTTATAACAATTTGGTATGTAGATCTATGAGGTCGGTGTGATAAAATGACTACATTTATAACAATTTGGTATGTAGATCTATGAGGTGATAAAATGGCTACATTTATAACAATTTGGTATGTAGATCTATGAGGCCGTGGTGACAAAATGACTACATTTATGATAATTTGGTATGTAGATCTATGAGGTCGTGATGATAAAATGACTCGTGTTTGTTTTGCATCACGTACAAAGCTAACATACTTTTCAATGAAAGCTTCTCTGTTTATACAAAAGAGCTGGTCTAAATGAGTAATATAGACGAATATTGTTCTTGAAGGCTTCTAACAATGCACTCGGTCATGAAAAACCTCACTATCCCCAAAGAGAGAGAAAAACAAATAAAAAACAAAACATACCACGAACACACAAAAAGAAAACGAAAAAGGGTTTCTAGCAGTTTTACAATGTATGTGTATCTCCTCTACATGTATTCTTTAAACTGAAGTATGACTAGAAATCCTTTGTAACAAGATCGAATTATCATATGTTATATCTGGTATTAGCATTGACAGTACTTTGTATACCCAAAGTCACGTGATTTGCATTAAAGTGGTCATACATACCCTTAACTATAGTTAATGACACTGTGGACATTACAGACGTTTGGGAGTTGCCTTTGTAATTATATATAGATAGGTTTTATCTTGTAATTGTTCATCTTTATCTGTCTGTATAATGTTTATAGAATCATTCAATAAAACATGATTTGACGTCATAAACGCTCTATTGATTATTGAAAGCAGAGGGAATCATAAATTGTATGACGGGAGAACGAGACAGATAACGTCAAACCTTTTTGAAAGATGTTATTTACTTATGGTACGGTTATTTGTTTAACGAGGATGACCAAAGATCTTGAAAATTTATCTATATGGTAATTTTCAAATAATTTCTAAAACAATGCATTTTTGAAACAATGAATTACTGTGTAAAACACATTTTTGCTTAAAACTTTCATCAACATTAGGTTAAAGTTGAACGTTAAAGAAACTACAGTTTTTGCGATAAGATAGTTTCAGTAGATTGCCCTTAAGTGGGCCTCATTATCATGTGACTGCCATGAGGTAATGGACGCTATTATAGTAGATATTATTATACAGGAAGTTATTAGATATTTCATAGATCGTTCAATATTTCCTGTGTAATGTAATCCATCTTTCACAAATGAAATCGTATAAACACATTGAATAAATCTGGCGCCATTTTTCCTTCAATGAATACTGAATTGTTTTACAATAATTTTGAAATGATATACTCACCACGAATCTTGGTGGTTGTTGACCAATGGCAGAGTATTGTTTACTTCTGTTGTGAAGGAATCTATTGCTTGGCGTCGTTCTATGGCTGTTCTGTGTTACTTATGTCCCTTTTACGTCAATACCTGGTGACATTATAGGCAAAAGTATATCTGGTCCACTATAGATATCGAGAGAACGACTCATAACAAGTGGTAGTCAACAAATATTTACGTCATAGTATTGGCCTTCCTGGTACAACTTATTTTTAACATATACCGATGACAACGATATATGTATATATATATAATCATAAGGACTATATTTAGATCTCAGTATGTTAATGCCTTCCAAGAAGTGGCTATCTTTGTATGTTAAATAAAATTGAAAAATGTCTGTTCTGAGCGATGGCGATTTCCAATTTATACAAATTTATTATCATCTTTATGTAGATCTATGAGGTGATGAAATGGCTACATTTATAACAATCTATCATGGATTTGAAATGAAAAAAATGAAGTTGTACAGTATTTTTTGTTTCGATTTAAGTAAGTCACTTCCTCAGTATTAACAATTTGATATGTAAATCTATGAGGTCGGTGTGATAAAATGGCTACATTTATAACAATTTGGTATGTAGATCTATGAGGTCGGTGTGATAAAATGGCTACATTTATAGCAATTTGGTATGTAGATCTATGAGGCCGTGGTGATAAAATGACTCTACATTTATAACAATTTGGTATGTAGATCTATGAGGTCGTGGTGATAAAGTTACTACATTTATAACAATTTAGTATTTAGATCTATGAGGTCGGTGTGATAAAATGACTCTACATTTATAACAATTTGGTATGTAGATCTATGAGGTCGTGGTGATAAAATGACTCTACATTTATAACAATTTGGTATGTAGATCTATGTGGTCGTGGTGATCAAATGGCTACATTTATAACAATTTGGTTTGTAGATCTATGAGGTCGTGGTGATAAAATGACTACATTTATAACAATTTGGTAGGTAGATCTATGAGTTCGTGGTGATCAAATGGCTACATTTATAACAATTTGGTATGTAGATCTATGAGGTGATAAAATGACTCTACATTTATAACAATTTGGTATGTAGATCTATGTGGTCGTGGTGATCAAATGGCTACATTTATAGCAATTTGGTTTGTAGATCTATGAGGTCGTGGTGATAAAATGACTCTACATTTATAACAATTTGGTATGTAGCTACATTTATAACAATTTGGAATGTAGATCTTTATGGTCGGTGTGATAAAATGACTACATTTATAACAATTTGGTATGTAGATCTATGAGGTCGGGATGATAAAATGACTCTACATTGATAACTAATTGGTATGTAGATCTATGAGGTCGGTGTGATAAAATGACTACATTTATAACAATTTGGTATGTAGATCTATGAGGCCGTGGTGATAAAATGACTACATTTATAACAATTTGGTATGTAGATCTATGAGGTCGGTGTGATAAAATGGCTACATTTATAACAATTTGGTATGTAGATCTATGAGGTCGGTGTGATAAAATGGCTACATTTATAAAAAAATTGGTATGTAGATCTATGAGGTCGTGGTGACAAAATGGCTACATTTATAACAATTTGGGATGTAGATCTATGAGGTCGTGGTGACAAAATGGCTACATTTATAGAAATTTGGTATGTAGATCTATGAGGCCGTGGTGACAAAATGACTACATTTATAACAATTTGGTATGTAGAACTATGAGGTCGTGGTGATGAAATGACTACATTTATAACAATTTGGTATGTAGAACTATGAGGTCGTGGTGATGAAATGACTACATTTATAACAATTTGGTATGTAGATCTATGAGGTCGTGGTGATAAAATGGCTACATTTATAACTAATTGGTATGTAGATCTATGTGGTCGTGGTGACAAAATGACTACATT